CTAGCCACTCTTATCCATGATTGGTCAAGCTATGGGGCAGGGACAATTGATATTTCCTTTTCTTCAATCCATCACCCATGTAGCAGCAATGGCAGACCCCCCAACATTTCTCCAATGAAAATAGGGACGTCCCATTCTATCATGATAATTTTTACTATTTATAACCTACACATCTTACTGGGTTGTCCCAGCCACTCTGGGCAACTTCCCACATACATAAAAACATAGTAAAACATTATGACACACAAACTACGTGACAAGGATAACTGTGATTTTAAAGATGAATGGGAACCTTTTAACAAAATATTTGAAGAAGCAACAAAATGAACTGGACTCTTTGGCAGGTTTTGAATAAACATTCACAAACTCTTTATTGTAATATATAGATAGATAATTTGAGGATCTTTGCAATTTTACAACATGCAGACAGAAAGATGTGTTGAGAAACCAGAGAAATGTACAATCAGATTACAAGCAAAAACACAAAGCTTTTCATAAGCTGGGGTGGGAACACCTTTAAAATATTTCCCAATTCCTGCAATTGTAAGTCAAATCTTAAAATATTATACCATTAAATTTTACCTGTTAATAATCCATTTTTCATATTCCTTATAGCGTTATAGCTAAAAACCACTTAACTTTTTATCCAACATCATTCTAACATTCAGCAAGCCTTAATCGAAAGTGCAAAATCCGTTCTTGGGAAGTTCTTCTCCCACTCCTGTGTACGGTTGTATCGCAAACATGGTAGGCTGTTCAGTGGTGTCGTACGACAAGCAATAATACACAGCCTCATCTTCTGCTTGGAGGTTGGAGATGGTTAAGGTGGCAGAATTGGATGCCTCATCAAAGGAACCGGAGAATCGCTCTGGGATTCCGGAGGATCTGCTGCTGAAGCCAAATATCAGTGGCTTGGGGGAACTGCCAGGCTTCTGCTGATACCAGGAGACAGCGTAGCTCGCAATGTTTCCACTGCTCCTGGTGCAAGAGATGTTGATGGTTTCTCCAGGGGATGCTGATAAGAGCAGTGGCTGAGTCAACACGAACTGGGCCAAACCCCCTGAAAGAAAGCATAGGCACCATGAAGGTTTTCCACTTCAAGCTAAGACAAAGGGGTAGAAAGCCAAGGGGGAGGAAGAAGGCCTTGATCAGGGTTTCTCAAACTTGGGTCTCCAGCTGTTTTTGGACTACAGTTCCCATCATCCCTGACCACTGGTCCTGCAAGCTAGGGATGATGGGAGTTGTTATGTACTGAGTTAAATAGGATCCAAAAGGCAGCAGTCTGATTGGTCCTAGAACAATGGAGCAGTATGATTGGTCCGCAGGAGCCACCCAATCCAGCTCCAGGTGGAAGTGAATCCACAACCTGATTGGCCCACGGGAGAATCCTGGAATTAGCCAATCACGTGCGGCCCATTGTGTAAATAATGTATATAAAGCAGATATTTTGGAGGAACCTTCATTCCTCACTACTATGAGCTGAATAAAGAGCATGAAATCCACACTCGACTCTGAGTATATTTCAGGAGTTGTAGTCCAAAAACAGCTGGAGACCCATGTGTGGGAAACACTGGTCTAGATGGGGAATCTTGTGGCCCTCTAGATCAGCTTTTCTCAACCTTGGGTCTCCAAAGTTTGTTGAACTACATCTCCCATCACCCCTAGCTAGCAAGGCCAGAGCTCAGGAATGATGGGAGTTGTAATCCAACGACATCTGGGGACCCACAGGTTGAGAACCGCTGCTCTAGATGTTGCTAGACTCTCATCAGTATGGTCAGTGGTCAGAAATGATGGGCTAGGCACTCTAGGACCTAGGGCAGGGATAGGGAACTGGTGGCTATCCAGAAGCTGCTGGACTACAACTCCCATCAGCCCTTGTTATTGACCATGCTGGCTGGGGCTTAGGAGAGCTGGAGTCCAGCAACATTTGGAGTGACACTGGTTCTCTGCCACTGCTCTAGGACCTAGCCCAGTGTTTCCCAAACTTGGGTTTCCAGATGTTTTTGGACTACAATCCCCATCACCCCTAGCTAGCAAGAGCAGTCAGGGGTGATGGGAAGTCTATTTTTTAAAATTTAATTTTATTGGAATTTTATTTACAGCATACAGTGGTACCTCAGGTTAAGTACTTAATTCGTTCCGGAGTTCTGTTCTTAACCTGAAACTGTTCTTAACCTGAAGCAGCACTTTAGCTAATGGGGCCTCCCGCTGCTGCCGTGCCGCCGGAGCACGATTTCTGTTCTCATCCTGAAGCAAAGTTCTTAACCTGAAGCACTATTTCTGGGTTAGCAGAGTCTGTAACCTGAAGCGTATGTAACCCGAGGTACCACTGTAACACAAACCCCCCACCCCCCAATACACAAATCCACCCTCATTAAATGTGAACATAACATACAGTGAGCATAACATACAACAATACAAACAACCAAATAAAAGACTTTCTTTATCCTGTATCTGGCCTCCTTATTTACTCCTTATAAACTGTTTCCTTTATGAATAGTTATTAAGATTTTTCTAATTATAACTTAAATATCCACAAAGGCTCCTGCAGACATGAATCGAAACAAGTCCAGGTATGTATATTAGGGCACTGTTTTGTGAAGTATTCTCTGCATTTCCCCCATGCTTTTTGAAACTCTTGTCTAGTGTGATCTCTAATTGCCTCTGTTAATCTAGCCAGTTCATTTTACTCTAACAGTTTGTCTTGCCATTCCATTTTTGTTGGCACAGTTTATTTTTTCCAGTTTTTAGCAATTAGGATCCTTGCCGCTCCTGTGGCATAAAGGAATATATTCTGATGGGAATTCTAGTCCAAAAGTAGCTGGAGACCCAATTTTGGGCAACACTGGCCTAGGGGGGAAAGCCTGCTCCCTGGGAGATAGAAAGGATATATACAGAAAAAAATTACATTAGGAAATCCATTTCCTTTACCTGTACAGTGGCTGAAGAGGATCAGAAGGAAAAGAGCCCAGGCCATGATTGGGAAATGGGGAGAAAACTGGCTTCTTGAGATAAAGGCTTCTCTGAAAACAAAGTTCTCCTCTTTGCACTTAAAGCAGCAAAGAGGAAAATTCAAATGCATGCAAATAGGCTTCCTATTCTTCGGCTGTTGTTTAAGCATCATTGCTCACTTGTGGGCTTAAACCAAGAGCTTTCCTGATTTCAACTCAGGCAGAAAGATTCACAATTTTGTGTTCTTCTAATGAGGGTGAAAGAGGAGAGTGCAAACTATGGTTTGAAGCTCAACATCAAAAAAACGAAGATCACGGCCACTGGTCCCATCACCTCCTGGCAAATAGAGGGGGGGGGAATGGAGGCAGTGAGAGATTTTACTTTCTTGGGCTCCATGATCACTGCAGATGGTGACAGCAGCCACGAAATTAAAAGACGCCTGCTTCTTGGGAGAAAAGCAATGACAAACCTAGACAGCATCTTAAAAAGCAGAGACATCACCCTGCCAACAAAGGTCCGTATAGTTAAAGCTATGGTTTCCCCAGTAGTGATGTATGGAAGTGAGAGCTGGACCATAAAGAAGGCTGATCGCCGAAAAATTGATGCTTTTGAATTATGGTGCTGGAAGAGACTCTTGAGAGTCCCATGGACTGCAAGAAGATCAAACCTATCCATTCTTAAGGATATCAGCCCTGAGTGCTCACTGGAAGAACAGATCCTGAAGCTGAGACTCCAATACTTTGGCCACCTCATGAGAAGAGAAGACTCCCTGGAAAAGACACTGATGTTGGGAAAGATGGAGGGCACAAGGAGAAGGGGACGACAGAGGACGAGATGGTTGGACAGTGTTCTTGAAGCTACCAGCATGAGTCTGACCAAACTGCGGGAGGCAGTGGAAGACAGAAGTGCCTGACGTGCTCTGGTCCATGGGGTCACGAAGAGTCGGACACGACTAAACAACAACAACAATTGCTCTTTGGTTTCTAATGAAACTTTTTCAACCATGGAGTGGTGGGGACAAAGGCACAAACATTTATAAAAGTATGCTATCCTCTTGCAAAGGATGGTGTAGAAGAGCAACATTTTTTATAATAAATCTGCTCCACTTCCCAGTGTGGAGGAGTTGCAGTGGACTGCATGGCCACCCACTCCCCACCGGGGGCGGGGGACTTTGTCCCCCATTGCCCGGGGGATCCCGGCCACATCAGAGCCTGGCCAGCCAATCCGCTGGTTGGGGGGCGTGGCTGGGACAGTTTAAACCGAGGAGCGAGTTTAAACCTTTGGCTCACATCCTCAATCACTCACCCTCCCTCCCTATTTGCAGGTTAGGCACTGGCCTTGCTATGGACTTCAGTTGGTCGCCTTGATTGTCCAAGGGTCCTGGTAGGATTTTTTCCACTTGGCAGATTGGCGCTGGCCACTTGGTTTTCGCCTACCTCGTAGCAATCGTCACAACTTTATTAGGGTTGTGGTTAGGCATTATGTGACCTTGTGTGTAGGGAGGTGTAGCCATCACCTGCCCCTCCAAGCTTAAGGGTATTCTGTTAAAGGAATCCGTGGGTGTTGATCTTGTCTGAAGCCCGGCTGGGGGCTAGGGCCTTGACACGACCCCGACGGGAACACCAGGGGGAGCTTGAGTTGGTTCGCATCGACAGGGCTCCCCCTACCAGTGGTTTACCCTTACTGGACTTCCTGCACAGTGGGCAGGAGTCAGATATAGTCGGGTCCAATCAATGCCTAAGCCAATACCGCTCACATTCTATAATTCAATAAAGTTGTGGCCACAATTTGCTTAGTAACATAAACCTAATATCTGTGTCCTGGTGTGAGTTATTTCCCAACAAGGGGGTGGCTGTGGGGTCTCAACACGCAATAATAATAATAATAAACACTCTTCAAAAGCAGTGCAGAACAACCATCAAATCACTAGTCATTCAGGAAGGTATTAGACAGCTGCACAGCCTTGTATTCAGAGTTCCTGCTGGTGCCCTGCGAGACAGTAAGAGGTTTTTGTCTCAGTTCCCCATAGAGATGGATCACAGTGGTACGCGTGTGGCCTGTTGTCCCATGTACTGCAGTAATAATTGGCCTCGTCTTCGGCTTGAACTCCGGTGATCACTAGATTCCAGAGGTTCTTGGAGGAATCAGGGGAGACACTGAATCTCTCTGGGACCCCAGAGCCCCTGCCCTGGTCACTACTGGTATAATAATGATAGAGAAAACTTGGGGTACCCGTTTTCTGCTGATACCATCGCACCCTCTCGCTGCTGATTTTTAAATCGCTGCTCACAGCACATGGGAGTTTCACTGTTGATCCCGGGGATACAGACATTGAGGCTGGTTGAGTCACGACAATAACCTGAGACTCTGAACCTGCAAGAAAATAATAGGGAATGCTACTGACCACTGCAGATGGGCTCCTCGGTCACTTTTAGTTCTGCCTTTCTTTTCTTAAATTCAGATCTCCACATTTCCACAGCAATTTCATATTTAAGAAAAGATATTGTGAAAACAATTATCTGTTGTTATGTATATCTTTGCAAAAATTCAATTCACCACCATTTTCTCTCGATATGAACATTTTTGTACATGGTTTTGCCTAACATGGAGAAATACATGATGCATTTTTCCATGTTATTTTTGTCAATATTTTGATATACAGTTCTCCCAAATATATGCAACTTGGTACATGTGTTCTTGGGCTGCGGAACTACGTTGCACAAATCAGAGAAGCATGCCTTTCAAAGGATAGCTGTCTATCGGTTTGAGAAGTGTCCGTTAGGTAGTTCATCATTATAAAACAAACAAAACTGAATTTCTCTCCTTTTCCAACCTGACCACCTGAGTGAGAACTGATACAACTCTTCTCTGTCTCGCTGAAGTAACCTCACCTGAGAGAAGTGTCTCCAGGAACAGGACCACAGGAACCCAGAACATTGCAGCAAGGACACCCATGACTTGCTTCTCATCCTGCTATCTTAACACCCCTTCTCTTATATCTCTCACTTGGAGGCAAATTCCTGGGCCTGTATGCAAATATCTCTAGCTGCTTTTGGCTTTCCCTGTCACAAGGACTGTGTGATGTCCTAGAATGCTATCAAGCTCATGAGCTGTCAGGCAGCAGAGGAACCAACCCCCAGGGAAGGTTGCCAGGAACGGATAAGACAAGGAAAATTCCCTTATCATCTGCTTTTTATTCAATATTTACAGAGAGAGGGAATATAGCCTCTTGGAATAATGGTGTTGCCCCAAGTGAATCTCCCCTCCCCTTCTTCATTCGCCATCTCGTCTACGGGTGGCACTGAGGGCCCTTTGCTTCTGAGTCCTTTGCTCTCCTACTTTTAAGGCTCGCCGGATTCTGGGAGATGGAGGGTCTGGAATGCTTTATAGGGATAACATGTCAACCAGCTGCTCAGGCTCTGTTTCCCCCTCCTCTTCTCCCATCATTTCCCAACTCCCCCCCCTCATCTTACTCTGAGCTGTGACCTCCCTCAAACCCCTGCTGTAATTCTGAACTGTCCTCTTCTTCTCTGGAAGGGTCAGGCTGGGGAGGTGGTCTCCACCATTCCTCCACTGCCCAGTCCCTGACATGAACTGGTCTTAGGGGAGACAGAGCACTGCTATGCTCTTCCTCCACAGCGACACCAATGCTTCTGAACGACATTTGCAGGAAGCCATCAACAACCTCCATAATACTACCAGAAGAAGATCCCTCCATTTATTTTAGCGCTACTGCTTCTATACCTTTCACAGCAAGCTCATGGCAGGTGAAGTCAGGCATGGAGAGACACAGATAGAAAATGATGCACCTGGCTGCTGTTGGGGGTATGGGACAAAACCACCTATAAAATTTGCATCTACCCGGAAGCAACCAACTTTGGCTGTTAAAATCTTTTCCTTGCTTCCCAGGACATGAGATTGGGCAGAAAATTTAGAAGATATGTCAAGGGATATGTTCCTCTATCCAAGATGCAACCCACATCCTAACAGATGCTTCTTTTGTAAATTAAGGTAGCAAATGGCTCTTGCAGATAATCTATGGAGCACATCTTGATTTGCATGCAGGATTCTTATGATGAGATTAGACAATGCCCAGCCATCCCCCACCTGTCTGCCTTCCTACTTCCATCCAGCCCAGGGGGTGGTGATGATTCTGAGCACAGACGTGATGGAGAGGCTGGGTTGGGAGGTCCACGGTCCTGCTGTCCAGGAGGAGGGGGGACTTCAAATGTGTTCTTTCTCTAACACAAGTTCGAGGCAGAAGAAGTTGGATTTGACAGCAACTGCAGGCACAAAGTCTATTTTTTTCATGCCACCCCAATCTCCAAGGGGTGGGAGGTTTCAGGGGTTCCAGGCATTTCCCAGGGTTCATCTTTCCTTTTGGAATGAGGCCCATTGGAGATTGTGGTGTCTTTATGATATATGGTTTATTTACACATATATATAACCTGAGCCCATAATAAAAATTATAATAATACTAATGTTCAATAAATAATAATAATAATATAATATGCTCAATGAAGACTGACCTAGCAATCAGCAGTTGGCATTTCTGCTATAGCTCACCATTCCTAAAAGAGACTTCCATCTGGCAATGATATGAAGTCTGAAGCCTGACTTTCCCAAAGCAGCTCTTTCATACACAAGGAGGGGCTGACTTGAGGGTGTGCTGGGCTGGCAGCTCCAAGGTCCTGCTGTGAGGAAGGAGGTGGGACTTCAGAGTTTTCTGTCTCTTCTGGTTCCATCCAGAGTAGGATGGACTTGACAACAGATGTAGACACAGATTAGATGATGTTTGTTTTCGGTATTCACATCTCACTGCTCTTTGGTGGAAGAGAAAAGGTTTTAGTCACGCTTCCCCATCAGTTTGCATCACTGTGGAACCCATTAACACTGCTATACCATCTGCCACAGTGATAAACGGCCTCGTCTCCAGCCTGGACATTGGTGATGGTTAAATAGCCACTGTTCCCAGAGCGAGAAGCCGTGAATCGATCCGGGATCCCTTCTCCCCTGCTGCTACTCTCATGCTGCACAAATCGAGGGGCCTGCCCTGATTTCTGTTGAAACCAGCGAACATAGTCACCTGTATCACTAGTTGTACAGGACATTTTAACCGTTTGACCCGGCGCCACAGACTCAGAGGCAGGCTGAGTGCAAATTGGCTGAGAGTTGACACCTGTTTTAAGAGAATTGAGAAAAGGAACGTTTTCAGTGTTCTCAAATAGGTAAATATGATAAAAGCTTTTGGTTGGCCAATGGAACATGAGATCTCCTCCCCAGCTTTACCTGAGCAGTAAATAAAAAGAGCAAGGAGAAAGAGAAAGAAAGACATGACGGCGAGCTCTCCAGAGGAGTTTGAACTTCTGAAGGAAACTTCCTCACTCCTGTCTTAAATCCCCCAGAGCTGAAGAGCTGCCCCTTCATGCAAATATCTTCTTAGATCATCGATTGCCTCTATTGGGATTTGGAAATCCTGCAGAGCATCATAGGACATTCAGTCCAAGGGCCCATAGGCAGATTTTGCATAAATGAGATTTCTCAAAGCAGCAAGACTGGCCCTTAGTTCAGCCAGGGTCTTATGAGACAGCCATGAAGGAACTCTTTGCAGCAAGACATCTATCAGGAAGGGTCCTGGGAACAATGCTTTTAATAGGTTGTTTTTTATTGTGTGGAACATCTCACTTGGGACCATTCCTAACCCGGGCTGGATAGACAGATGACTGTGTAGGAACAAATAAAGCTCATAATTCCTAAAATGTCTTAGAAAGTTCAGTCTGTCTTCGTATTTTTTACTTTTTATCTTTTAAAGTAATGTTGTGAATTCTTCTTCATTTTCTTTTCTTTTCTTTTCTTTTCTTTTCTTTTTGTAACTTGCTTAGAGGCTTTTTTTAATACAATCAAGTGGTGTAGAAATATTACGAAATGAATCGGTGAAACAAATAACTGTGAAGTTCAAAAGAGGGGAAGAACACCCACTAGTCAGGACTGCACAAACTGAGCTGAACACTCAGGGCAGCCTAGTCTATGTCCTCCTGCACAGAAAGGTCCACCTGCTCTTTGCATGCTTCTCTTCCGTTCGCTGGCTGGGCGGATGGGAGTTGGAGTCCAACAACATTTGAAAGGCCAGAGTTTCCCTACCCCCGCTGTACAGAATTAGTAAGCTTTAAGTTCTTTCTTAAACTTATTGAAGAAAACATTCTTTCTCGGTTTTTCAATGGCACAGTCTCTGCTGCCACCTTCTGGCATATGAGGAGCAGAGATTGGGATGAACAGACACACAGCCTGCAACAGTGACAAGAACAGGCTCCCTGAGACCTGCGTGGGAGAGCAGAAATGGCGGTCTTTGGGCTCCCAGATTTCAGCAGCGCCCTGTGCGATGCTAAACTTTGGCACATGCCCCTCCCCCTCGTGCTCCGTTCCACAGCCTTGGTGTGGGATCCCCTGTAGCATGGTGCCCAATTCGACTGAACCAGTTGAACCGCCCCTGAGAGCAGAGTGCAGTTGGTCTCACCCAGCTAGGCCAATCTGGATACTCGCTGCAGTATCAGGGCAGACCTGAGGGTCAGGGAGCCTACAGTAGAGAGGCAAAATATCCCTTCATTGCACCTTTGCCTCTGGCCCCGCCCACCAGTAACGTGGGTCCCATGGAAGGCTGCCAGGTGGGGAATGTGACTCTGGGGCTGATTGTCTGTCAACATTCTCTCCAACATTTCTCCAATGAGAACAGAGAAGTCCTATCCCATAATAATAATCCTGCTATTTATACCCTGCCCATTTGACTGCGTTGCCACTCTGGCTGTCTTCCAACATATATAAAAGCATAGTAAAACAAAAAACATGAAAAACTTTCCCATACATGGCTGCCTTTTGATGGTTTGGGAGTTGAAAAACTCCAGACCCTATACAGGGCTGTCTTCAGATGGGGGTGAAATAACTCCATACCCTACATTTCTCCTATGGACATAGGGATGTCCTAAGGACAAGCAGGATTTTCTGGGATCAAATCAGAAACCAGGACGGCTTCTGTAAATCCAGGACTGTCCCTTCAAAATAGGGACACTTGGAGGGTCTGGCCTGATCTACCAAGAACTGGTTTGGGATCTGTTCACTCTCTGTTAGTGCCCTGCAGTGGTGGGATCTGTGTGGATTCAGCTGTCTGTATGGCCGATCATGGCCAGTAAAGCAAATCTACCTATGGGTTGACAACAGCTGCAAGCACAAAGCATAGGAAGTTCTTTTTAAGCATTCACATCTCACTGCTCTTTGGCGGAAGAAGAAAGGTTTTTGTCACACTTCCCCATCAGTTTGTATTACTGTGGGATGTGAGACCATACCATCTGCCACAGTAATAAACAGCCTCGTCTCCAGGCTGGAAGTTGGTGATGGTTAAATAGCCAATGTTCCCTGAGCGAGAAGCAGTGAATCGATCCGGGATCCCTTCTCCCCTGCTGCTACCATCATACTGCACAAAGCGAGGGGCCTGTCCTGATCTCTGTTGATACCAATGAATGTAGTTGCTGCCGCGGCCACTGGAAGTACAGGAGAGTTTGACCGTTTGTCCCAGGGTCACGGATTCAGAGGCAGGCTGAGTCGGATCTGACTGTGAAGAGACACCTTTGCAGGGGGAAACAACAACAGAAAAAACAAAGATGAAGACCTCAATTCATTTTCAGCATTCACAAATACCCACAAAACACTATGTTTCTGGGATAGATTCAAATATCTTTGGCTTGGCCTCTTGAACAAGAGATCACCTCCACAGCCTTACCTGAGCAGTAAAGGAAAATAGCAAGGATGAATTGAGGGAGGGCCATGGTGAGCTCTCCAGGGGAGTTTGCCTCTCTGAGTGAATCTTGCCCCCTCCTCTCAAATTTCCCAGATCTGAAGGCTTTCCCCTTCATGCAAATGTGTTCTGTGGATAACCAAACGCCACTCCTAGAGCGTCATGTTCCTGCAAAGCATT